GTACCTCGTACCCAAGTGGTGGGCGAGTAGCACCTTTGTTATTTGCTTGCAAGGGGGCAAGTTCTGAATCCCTGGTGCAATAGGTACAGGTCTCTTTTGCAGTAGCTGGTTTATTGGGTTTATTGCAGTTTTTGTCTGGTGTGGATTTATGTTAGCTGCAATGATGTTGTAGGTTGTTATGTGGCGGTTTACCAATTTTGTCCTTTTTTGATGTTATGTGTGACCCGTGTCCAGAATTTGTCTATATGCCGCAGGTTTGTGGGGTTTGCATCGTACGGTTTGTGCAGGGCGAATGACCAAAGGCATGTGCTGTTGTTGCTACTTCTGCGTGATGTTTTGGCTTCAAGATCTGTTCTTCTCTTTTTTCTCTTTGTTGTGTATAGGACGCGATGATCTTTACAAAGCCGTATGGTTGCCGCTTCATGATCGTTGTGCTGCCTTTTTATTTGTTGTGCCTATTGCGAAGGTCTCTTTAGCAATTGAGGGATGAGATGTGGTCGTACGTATTTGCAAGCAGGTCATGTAGAGGTAATGGAATATTAGGATTAATGTACAAGTTTTGTGTGAGGTCTGATGTGTAGTGTTGGTTTGTTTTCACTTGTAGGTTGTGTAGCAGAGTTTTGGTGCAGGTAGTACAATTATGTCGCAGCTAGGCGTGATGGTATGGTTTCAAATGCTGGTTTTTTTCTCTCATGAATACGTGGCCTTTTGAAAGGTTGAAGGTTTTTCCCTTGTGGCAGCGGCTGATGGCAAGTAGCATGGGTCTTATGGCTCTTTTTTTACAACTCTTTCCTTTTGTGTATGATAGGCCCCCTTTTTTAAATAAAAAAAAAAGAATTATGTAAAACAAAAATGTAATTGGAAATTGGATTCTAATGATGATTTTTGTTTTTATTTATGGAACCTCTCCATTTTTGTGCAAATGGGCTCATAACTGTGGGATTTTGTAATGGGCTTGGAACTTGAAATAATATTTGGATTGTGAATGGACTTTGAAACCAGTTTTACACCTCACTCATAAATAAAACTTGGAAATCACCATAAGATCATGATAACCAAACTCAAAGTTCTTGACTTAAAATGATGAAAACTTGACATCCCGCGAGAACCAAACAAAATTATTGACTTGAAATAATTGCCACTTGAGTTAACCTTGAGAAGTAGAATTGACCATGAATTAATCTTGAATTATCCTAAATTGGGAACGGACTAGAGCCTTGAATTAATAAATCAAACTAGATTTGGCCATTTGAATATCAACAAACCAAAGTCTCTAATATAAAACTCCTTGAGCCAGAACATGCCTTAAAATCAGAGAACCATGATTAAACTTTAATTGAAGAATAAACTTGATCTTGTTGATTATCGACAACAAAACATTTGATTAACCACAGTCCTAACAACTGACCCACATACAGATGATTTGGGGTACAAAAACCCTGATTGAAAACTCATGAAACAATCTCTTGACTGACTAACCAATTTAAGTCAAAAACCACTGAATAACACTCATCACTTGCCTGAGTCACCTTACACAACCTTGAACCACACGCAAAGATAGCCTCTTTTTTTTTTATTTTCTAGATATAGTTAGTGAATGGATGCACAGGTGAAGGTATATACTGGTAGGACAAATTTGGGGTATGACAGAGGCCCCCAAAGCAGCATGAATGTAATTCAGGGATCCATGTGTTCTTTGCTTGCTTTTCTTAAACTTCGCCCTACAGGATTTACCAAATACACAAGATTCACAAAATTCCAACTTTTTGACTTTGTCACCTCCTAGCAGGTTCTACTTCCCCAATTCGACCAGGCCTCTTTCGCTGACATAGCCCAATCTCATGTGCCATAATTCTGTCTTCAACATAAGTTCCATGGATGCAACATTTGTCGAACCACTTGCAACCTCAGCCTCAAAGGTATACAAGCCTTGTTTCTTCACGCCTCTCAAGACTTCCTTCGACCCCTTCATGACTCTTAGGATACTTTTCTCTCCTTGAAAAACGTATTCTTTTCTGTCGAATTCACCAAGAGAAATCAAATTTCTCTTCAAGTCAGGTACATACCTGACTTCAGTCAATAACCTTATTGACTCATCATGGAGCTTGAATCTCACAGATCCAATACCTGCAATTTTGCAAGATTTGTTGTTTCCCAGCAACATAGATCCACCATCTTGATCACATAACTCCTCGAACAATTCTCTGTTTGGAGTCATGTGCCAAGTGCAACCTGAATACATAATCCACTCTTTCCTCGAGTCGCCACTTGAAACCACAAGAACATCATATGAGTCGAAGTCGTCTTGAACAATGGCTGCATTGTCATTACCTCCATGATCTTTCAGGCGTTCAGGGCACACCTTTCTTATGTGACCCTCCTTCTTACAGTGATAACATCGAATACTAGATGGTTCGCCACTATAAGACTTTTGTTGACTTTTACCTTTCTTCTTGTCGAACTTACCATCCTTTTGCAAGAATTTTCCCTTAACGGCCAAACCTTCGCCCACCGTCGAAGGTTTATACTCCTTTCGTTCGTTCAAGTCCTTAGAGTACAAAGCTGATTGAACTTCTTCAAAGGTCAGGGACTCCCTTCCATACAAGAGAGTTTCTTTGAAGTGAGCATGTGATCTGAGCAAAGCACACAACAACAACAGTGCTTGATCTTCATCGTCGATCATCACATCAATATTTTCAAGATCAAGAATCAACTTATTGAACACATCCAACTGCTCAGCCAACACTTTGTCTTCACTCATCTTGAATGAATATAAAGCTTGCTTCATGTAGAGCCGATTCACCATAGATTTGGTCATGTACAAACTTTCAAGTTTCACCCATAATCTCAATGTTGTAGTTTCCTTTGATACCTGTCGAAGAACCTTGTCACCAAGGCTCAACAATATTGCGTTGTGGGCTTTCTTGATCATGCTCGTCTTTTTTGTGCCGTTAATGCAGCGTCCATGGCTGCCTCACCCTTCAACGCTTCCAAACAACCCTACTGAACCAATAGGGCTTTCATCTTCAAGCGCCACAGACCGAAGTCGTTCACTCCGGTGAACTTTTCAATCTCATGCTGTTTTGAAGGCATCTTCTCCACGCTCACCGCACCAATTTGTTGTGAATCGGATACCTTTAAACAAAGTATAAACAATTTCTTAATAAGAAACACACAAGGGTTAGGGTTAATAAAGAAGAACACAACAAGGATTGGTTATTAAACCTCTATTCTTTCCTTTCTCTTAGAACAAGATTACAAGTATACAAGAATAACAAAATAACCTCTCTCTCTTGAAATTAGGATTTATCTTCCTATTTTTTCTTATGCCAAAATTGAGAAACTAGCATCCTATTTATAATAAAATAGCACACTAACCTAATGGGCTTTTTAACAATTACCCATTACAAGCTAACTTAGGGTACAAGCTAACTTAAACAATTGGGCTTACAAGCAAGACCCAATTTAACATGCTAACAACCCTAAAAATATTGACTAATGCATGTTAGAACAGACTTCAACTACAATCATCTCAAAGTAAAGCAAGTAATAGCGGGTTCAAATGGATCAAAAGAAGTGAAAATTCGCAAAAAAATTTGAAGAAATTAGAAAGAATCGAGCATGGAGAGTGTGAAAACAAAGTAGAATCGCAATATAAAGCATTGAACTGAAAGAGAAAGCAAGTGAGAGAATCCTTTTATCTTATGAGATTTTCTTGTGAAAATGGCGGAAAATAAGAGTGAGAGAGAGAGTAATTATTTGTGCTGAGGATGTAAATCTTGATTAAAACATGAATTGATTAGAAGCATGAAAAATTGTGACTTTTCATTGCTAAGTAATTTCAAATGAATGTGTGCTGTTTTTCAAATAAATAGTTATAAAAAATGACTTTTCATTAACAAAATAGTATAAAATTAAAACAAACTTATTTCAAAAAATGACAAGCACGACACATCAAACACAATAAATATCAAATGCAGCAAAATTTAAAAAAGACTCTCATATCTTAAAACTAGAAAAATTTGTACTTTCGACCTAAAATTAGAAATGTAATTTCCAGATACTATTCTTTTTATAATTAAATAACAGATTTTAAATATTCAAATGTTGATTAAAACAAATAGGCACTGAAATGAAATTGAAAAGTATGTTAGCCCACGTGGAAAACTCAAAAGGTTAAAGGCGTAGGCTTCTACCAACTGGGTGCCATTTAATTCGTCAGAGTTTAAGAAAAAGGTTAAGCAAGGGGATGGAGAGACTGCGAAGGAAAGCAAAGCTAGAGAGAGCGACAGAAGATGGCGGTTTCAAGCCTAATATGACTGTACTTTATTAAATATATTTTTAATCAACACTTCTACATATTTTGAATTATGAGAAAAATCTAAGTTGAACATATTTATGTAATTGCTTTTATATGACTTTACGATAGGATCATTTGCTTGTGACTTTTTATTTTAAAATATGAAATACAAAAATATTTTTTATTTTATTTTATATATATATATTTGTGATATGTATGAATATTCAGAGGATGTTAGTGTGCATATACACACAAATAATATAAAATGAAGAGAAACTAAATAAATGAGGCAAGTCTAAAAATTAGAGTTGAGAAGTATTAATGGCGAAGTGTATGGTGGCAGATACACATTGAAGAAGTGCAATAAAAGGGTGATTGTTTCAGTCGGGTAGGTCTACCTTTCATAATTCCAAATCACACCCTTCTCTTCCTCACACAAACTCTCCCTTATTCATTCCCAAAAATTAAATTCTTCAAACTGCATAACTAGCAGAGTTCATCAATACATGAATCAAATGCACACAATCATGATCTTCATGATGCTGAAAGCTCAAAACAATCTCTGAGCAACACAACACCTTAGTTATAAATTCATCTCACCAACCTTTCCCTCTTTATCATTAATATTTTCACCACAGAAACATAGAAACAAAACAAGTCATTTTCCAACTTTTTCCTTTCCACTTGGTGTTTTTTGAGCATGGTAATGCACATGAAAATCATATTTTTGTATTTGTGCTTTTTGTATTTCTTGGCTGAATCATCATCATCATCATCTACTATCCAAAATTACACAAGGTATAAACAAATCAGTAGCTTGAGGCTTGAAAGGATTAATAATCACTTGGAAAATATTAACAAGGTTCCTGTTCTCACCATAGAGGTAATGTTATTTATTGTCATTAATGTTTCTGTTTGTTTATTGATCATAGTGGTTGAGATTTTAATATCATACATTAATGTTTTTATTAAATACTAGTATCTTTATTTGTTTGGTGTTGGATGAAATTAATTTCAGAGCCCAGATGGTGATCTTATAGATTGTGTCCACAAAAGAAAACAATTAGCTTTGGATCACCCACTTTTAAAGAATCACAAGATCCAGGTACATACAACTAGTATTTAATTTCTTTATTTTTATTTTCAATTCAAGTTGACTATTGGATTATTAAATATGTATTTAATTTATTTTTATAAAATCGACTTAATAACATTTTATAAAACTTTTTTTATTAATACAGAAAGTGCCGAGTGAGATGCCAAGAGGGATGAAGGTGAAGAAAGACGACAATGATGATACTAATAATAATACTAAGACTAATGTGGGGGGTGGAGAAGGAAAAGGGAGGGTAAGAAGAGATGTGTGGCAAATGTGGCACCGAAACGGAACAAGGTGTCCCAAGGGGACTGTTCCGATACGGAGGAGTACGGTGCATGATGTGTTGAGGGCGAAGTCTTTGTATGACTATGGTAAGAAACAACGGACACAAATTCCGCTTGTTCGCCGGAGTGATGCTCCTGAGCCTGATATACTCGCCGCCGGCAATGGTCATGAGGTACGTTTGCGTATGTGGCTCACTACAATAATATTACTAATATTATAACATGCCTATTATTTTGGTGCATTGTAAAATTTATTTTACATTATCATTTATATTATTATTAAATTGATCGTGTAAAAAATGAACGATTTAGAGGTGATGATAACTAAATCATGTATGCAAGGGTTGAAATAGTATAAAATGTAATTAAAAAAAAATGTAATTTTCACAGATAGATCTATCTATCTAGCTAATCAAATGATTCAAGTTGTTCCCTTGATTATTGATTATTGATTAAGCTTCAAGTTGTTATCTTCTCATTATATTAAACAACTTTTGAAAAAGAAAAATAATAATTAAAAAATGCCAATTTTCTTTTCAACACTCCATACAGTTGTAACTCGAAAAGATTGCTTTATTTGTACTTCAACTGATATTATCTTTTCTTACACTCTTAAACTTTGTTTTTATTTAATCATAACAGTAGTAGTTTATTGATGGAAGAAGACTTTGCACTAATTATATTAAATTAATAATTAATTAAAATAAAACTGTTGGTGTGTAGCATGCGATAGCATACACAGGATCATCATCACAAGAGATGTACGGTGCAAAAGCATCGATAAGCGTGTGGGACCCATCAATTGAAGTGATGAACGAGTTCAGTCTCTCGCAAATTTGGGTCCTTTCTGGATCGTTCGATGGTCCTGATCTTAACAGCATTGAAGCTGGATGGCAGGTACTCCTAATAATTCTATTCAATTCTTTAATCGAGTTAAAAAAAATATTTGTATTATCTTTGTGTAAAAAAATATATTATCTGACGGTGGTTTATAAATATAGATACACTCATTTTCAATTGGTTCCTTGAATGAAGCAACGAACATTTCATGAATTGGTTAACTAAATTAGATTATACTATGTGATACATAATGTGACACGGCATATTATTATATTCAATGTGCATAAATATTAATTAATTTGATGAAATAGTCTCTAAAGTTTTGATTATTCTACTAGTCAGGTCAGTCCGGAGCTTTATGGTGACACCAGACCCAGATTATTTACTTACTGGACGGTCAGATTTCTATCTTCTATTTTTTTTTCCCACTTCATCCTAAACTGAAGATTTATATGTCTCACTCCATTAAACAGTTTTTTTAAAATAAAGTTATTCGTAAGAAGTAAGTTAAAAAAATGATAATTATCATAACTATCTATAGAAACACATAATATTGAAAGAAGATTATAAAAAATTACATATTGAAAGAAAAAGTTTCATTGAATCTTTAATTTTTATAATATAATGGTTAACATTTTTATTTAATTTTAATTATAAATTTTAATTAATTAATCATTCGATTAAATCTAAATTAAAGGTGATGATTTAATCAAAATATGCTAAAATACATAAATGACAAACTGATTCTTAGTTATGAGAGGGGATAAAATTACAAGAATAAAAGAAAGTCAAAAGCTGCTTGTAATAGATGGTTTCAGTGCCACTTTTTGTTTAAAATTTGTGTTAGTGATTGTGGGTGGAACATAAATATTAGATGTCGTATTCGTAACCATGGTCTAATTGAGGATTTAGACGGTCATGACATACTAGGTCGTCTAAAACTCGAAGAAAAATAGTTTGCAAATGACATGATAATGTACGACATGACGTCAATGTACATAAATGGTGCATTGAAAGGTAGGAATGATGAGAATCTAATAAGTGTTAGGCAAGTGTATAGAGAAATAGCTACATACTAATTTATCCTTAGAGTTTCGTTCACGAAAATACAATATTTTTTAAGCTTAATTCATAATAAGGAGTAATTATGTTGTACCTAAAACAAGGATGACTTAGATATTATAGGTGATATATTTTGGACACATCCTGATTCAATGAAGCTTTTGAATATGTTTCATCTGATTTTGATCTCTGACCTGCACATATAAAACCAATAGGTATAAGCTACCACTACTTTAGATTTTTGGTGTTATGTCAACTGAGTTGACATTCTCTGTTGAGTTTGTTTACTTGAAACATGAAATAGAGACAAACTTCATATGGGCACTGATGAATGTCATTGTAGTTATTTTCCCATCCTTAGTTCACCTCTTATGCATTTCCCATGTTGTGAAAAATGTTTGTGCAAAATGAAAGTAGTTTGTAAAGGTTAACAGACAATGGCATGTGATAAAAATTATAGAATACGTTCATGTATCCAAAGAGGGCGTTTGAATATGAGTAACAATTGCAACATTTTTAGCTATGTAGAAGTTAGGATGCGGTCAACACCATGTTGTAGTTACAACTAGGTGCAATTAATGTATCATTTTTAAAATTATTGTGAACATTGAACATTTACATAAAACTCATTTTTATTCGAGATTTCATATATTCGTCTTAAGACAGTGCAAACATCATATTGCGAAAGTGTTTGAATGAGTGAAAAGAGTTAGTGTTAACAAAGTTGCATATGATTTTTATAATCATGGCTTTGTATCCAATCATGTTGACTCGCTAACTTTGTTTTCCCAATGTTGTATATGTCTTGCATGTGTTATTTCTCATTCTCTTTCACCTTCGCTACATTTCTCTCTCCAACACATTCTTCTCATGTTCTTCTAATTTTTCAAATAAAGTTGTGAGATCAAGTATTTTAAGATCATCCGCTTCTTTGATTGCGGTGAGTATAGGTTGTCATTCCCTGTTAAGACACCTCAAAACTTTATTAGAGGCAATGGAAAATTGGCCTTCAACTCCAACTGAACCTAATTATTGTTACTAACTACAATAAGTGTATATCTACTCGCAGACCTAAACGGAGATAACACATGTGTGAAGAATGTAATGTATACCTGAAGACCATGTGTTATCCTAATGAAACATCCAAATACAATCATGTCAACACTAACTTTTTTCACTCATCCAAACTCTTTCATAATGTGATATTTACAATGTCTTGAGATAAAAACATGCAATCTTGAATAAAAAAGAGTGTTATGTTAATGCTCAATGTTCGCAATCCTTTTATAAAATGATACTTTAATTACACTTAGTTGCAGCTTTAACATGGTGTTGGTTGCATCTTAGCTTTTGCACACATATTATCACATACTAGCTCAAAATATTGCAAGTGTTTCTCATGCTCAAACATCCTCTTTGAATGCATGTCCTTATTCCATAGTTCTATAACACACTCTTGTCTATTAACCTCGACAAACTCTTTGCACTAATATTTTTCCTAACATGAAAAACACATAAGAGGTGGGTCGAGGATGGGAAAACAACTTCAATGGCTTTCATCAAAGCAAGTTACCTATCAATCACCATGACCATGGGAAACAATTCCTCCGATGCAAACAACTCCTTCAGCTTCTCTTGTACCCATGTAAAATTTTCCTCCCTTTTAAGTTACAAGTAAGCAAACCCAAACAGAGAATATTAACTCAGTTAACGTAACACAACAATCTCAGATAGTGGTAGCCTTTATATGTTGGTTTTTTTTTTACGTATAATCAAAGATCAAAACCAGATAAAACATTTTCAAAAGTTTCGTTGAATCAGGATATGTACATAATATATCACCCATAACATTTGAATCCTCTATGTTTCTAATCCAACATAAATATCTCTCTTTATGCATTAAACTTAACAAATATGGCGTTTCCGTGAATGCACCTTAATAGTAGACTAATATGTAGCTTTTGATCTGTATACTTGGCCAACACTTGTTAGATTCTCAACATTGCTCTCTTTCAATGCATTTATTTTTACCTCGACTCTATGTCGTACTTTTTCATGTTAATCACATATTTCTTCAGGTTTTAGATGATCTAGTATGTCATGATCGTCTAAATACCACATCTAACTTTTATGTTCCAACCATAACCACTTGGCATAGATCTCAATCGAAAGAGACATTTAAACCTTCTACAACAAGTAACTTTAGACTTTCCTTGTTCATGTAATTTCCTCCTCTCTCACAATCTCACAACTAAGAATAAGTTTATCACTCATGCCTCTTAGCTCATTTGTTATATTAGAACAAATGATAACTACTCCTTCTGTTCTTTTTTAAGTGTCGTTTTTTAGTAAAAAAAATTGTTTCTTTTTAATTTTTGTTTTCAAAGTTCAAGGCAACATTAATTGTTATTTTGTCAAAATTACCCCTAGTTATTTCTTGAAGAGAGAGAAAAAGTTAAATGAATTAATACATAATTAAAGGTATTATAGGTAAAAAGACAATCATTACATAAAAAGTAGTAAAAATTATTACCTTTCTTGGTATATGCAAAAAGTAAAAAAAAATAATTAAAAAGGAACGAAATGAGTACAGTAATATTGTTATGTTGATGAAAATATTGAGTCCATGATACTCCTTTCGTCTCATAATAAGTATCTTATTTGAGCTCTGCGCGGTTCTTGTGAAAATGATTAGATGTATTGATTTTAATGATAAAATTAATATCTTTTACTAAAATACCCTTATTTATTATATTTAGTGGATTAGTTGAAAAACGTGAAAGTTAATAAATCGAAGTATAGTAGTGAAAAAAAATACTTCCTTTGTTCCACAATGAGTGACCCAGTTGACTTTTCACACAAATTAAGAAAAAAAGAATAAATGAAGAAGAGAGAATTCTATTTTTACTAAATTATCCTTATGATGTATTGGGAATGATGAAAATAATATTAATTAGAGGGTAAAATAGAAAAAATTACATTGGAAATTGAAATGAGTCATATATTTTGGGACACTACTTTATTTTAAATGGATCACTCGTTGTGAGACGGAGGAAGTGATATATATTGTATTGAGATTTTAAAAAGATATTGTTTTGAAACATATAAAAAATATAAATGAGACACTTTTTATGATTTGGAGGAAGTAAGACTTTTGTCTAATGAAAATATATCAAAATCATGACATAAAATAAATTACTCGTAACGGGTTAGTTTGTTAAGGTGGTGGATAAAAAAAATTCCAAAATAATTAAAATAAAAAATTATCTCATTTGTAACACTTTCTTGTATTAAATTCACCTTTATAATTAGGCTACCGTATTTACATATTTGTAGGAATGTTTTTACCCATTGTTCACTAAAATTTGTGTATTGATTGTAATAAATCTAGAGTATTATGTTTATTATTTATCAAAATAAGAATTAATTTTGTAAATATCATTATATTATTTCTCATAGTTTATGTTAGATGAACAACTATAATATGCAAAGATGTTCTATCATTTAAAAATAAATAAAGAAAGAAAATGGGACATTATAAGAGTAAATCAATTTCAGCTATAGTTATTGATTTCAGCTACAATTTTAGCTACCATTAATCAAATTGGACATTTATGATGTTTTATAAAACCTTGAAAGTTTTTGGTTGATGCAGAGTGACTCTTATCAAGCAACTGGATGTTACAATCTTCTTTGTGCTGGTTTTATTCAAACCAATAGCAAGATAGCCATTGGTGCTGCAATTTCTCCAGTCTCTTCTTATGCTGGCAACCAATATGACATTTCAATCCTCATTTGGAAGGTCTATATTTCTTCCACATGCAAAAATCATTTTCTCATAAAAAAATATTTTTTTTTCACTTTTATATTGTTGTGAATTTGAATTAGGATCCTAAGGTAGGAAACTGGTGGATGAGTTTTGGCGACAACACATTGGTAGGATATTGGCCATCAGAGTTATTCACGCACCTCGCCGGCCACGCCACCATGGTGGAATGGGGCGGCGAGGTGGTGAACTCACGCTCCAATGGCCGACACACCTCCACCCAAATGGGCTCCGGTCACTTCGCCGAAGATGGATTTGGAAAAGCGAGCTACTTTCGCAACCTCGAGATTGTGGACGTTGATAACACTCTTAGCTCAGTGCAAAGCATTTCAACACTAGCAGAAAACACAAACTGTTACGATATTCAAAGCTCCTATAGTAACGAATGGGGTACGTATTTCTATTATGGTGGGCCTGGGAATAATCCTCAGTGTCCATGATTTTTAATTGACGTACATATGAATTCAGTTGGACACGTATAGTTCGGTTTCGAATTTGTCCCACGTTGTTGAAGTTATGTTTTATTTTCTTGTTACATTCTTTACTTGTACGTAATTAAAGAATTATGATTCTGCTGTTTGCATCCTAGTTTGGTTTCTTTTTGGAAGTATATGTGAATGAGCAGAACACAAAAAATTGATAAGAAATGACAAATTTTGAATGTGTGAACTTTTATATACATGATATTTTTTTCACCTTACTTTTGCTTCTTAATATATATACTAAAAGTTATAGATAGTTATAAATTACTAGTATCACATATAGTTTTGTTAAAGCTATAGATGATCAATAGCTTAAAGCACAAGTCATTAAAGTTTCACCAAATTTCACCATTGTTGAGCTGCATCACATGTAATGTATTACAACTTTTATGATTAATCATTCAGTTTAGAAAGTTGTTAGGATTATAAAGTCTAGCAGCTTATAAATAACTAACTTGCAAACTATATTCAATGAAAAGTTTTTTTCAATTTTTTCTCTTCTTCATTGAATTCTTTATTTTTCTTCACTTTCATCATGTTCATTCAAAACTTTAAGATGGTATCAGAACTCTTTTGAGGTCTGTTGCACATCAATTCATCGTGTTTCTATCAATTTTCAACATTCACCATGGTGTGTGGTGCAAAAACAGTCATCGACTGTGTCGGTAATGTTGCAGAACTGATAGCTCGGGTTCAATATCTCTCTCAGGTCTCAGGAAATTGGAAATGTTTATTATGTTCATCCTTAAGATGGTCTCTCATCAGTGTCAGTTACAACCAAAGCAAGAGACACAATCAAGTCAATTAGGATGAAATAAACAAGTATGTAAGATAAAACATGCTTCAAACTTGAATCAAAGACAATAAGAGACATACAAATTAATAACCATACACATTCAAATCATCTAATCAAGCTCAAAGAAGTCACACAACACAACTCAAGTAACTAGGCTAATCAAATAGTTAAGACACAAACACATATGCCTTAGGAAATTAACCATATATTCATGAATGAACAAACCAAAGCAATGTGGATCAAATAAGTTGAAAGACAAATAAGGTCAGAACCTATATCACACCATGATTAACACATTTCAAAGATGAGAAAAGAGGTACAAGAGCAATCACCAAGAGTCAAAGAAAGAGCTAAGCATATGCAAACAATAATCTCATAGAAAAAAAAACAACAATGAACAAGCTTATGTAATTAGAACATGTGAACATGAGAGGTCAGAAGTAAACACAAGCACTTAAAATTTTATTCAATACCAATACATCCAAGAAGTTCAATGAGGATCAAACTCAAAAAATGAGTAAAGAACTAGGCATGCATCACTCCTTATCAACCTTAAAAGAAATCAAACATTCATATACAAGCAAAAGGATTCAAAAGTCTAGCCATACATAATGAATCAAAGGAATTAGAAGCTTAAACATGGTCTTTCATGTAAATTAAAATCACCAAGCATCAAATGGAATCATGGAAGAACAATGGTTTAAGAACTAGGTCAAAACATCAGAGAATCGTGTCAAAACAACATCAACTTAGGAATTCAACAAAAAATAGAAAAATATCCAAATAAATATGGATACAGAGCTCATAATCAAGTTAAACCAAACAATATTCATCATGAAAAATATCCCAAAGGTATTGCATAAATGCACCACTAAATCAAATTAAACTAAGTCAAGTATGAGGTTGATCGAGCACATGTCGAGGACCAATTAAAACCAAATAAAAATCCATCAAAAATTTCATGTCTTATCATAAAATCAAGCCTCAACCAATCCTTAATCAAGTTTCAAATCATGGTAAAAAAGATGGGTCAAAGGTCTCAAGGGAAAGTCGTGAAACAAAATTATATTTCAAAATTAGGTCAAATGAAACACATCACAAAATTAAATTGAAATAAAATAATAAAAAAAATAAAAAATGTGAAAAATTAAATAAGAGGTTAAAGGATAAAAGTCATATTTTTATGAATTTTTATCAAGCTTGGAGTAAATAAAATTAAATCAAAATGAGAAAGTAAGAAAAAATGAAATGAAATGAAATAAAATGACAAAGGAGGGTGTATGAGCAATTCTGGGTTGAACTAGGAATCATGTGATACGCGCTACTGGGCCCCAAGCTAGGGGTGCCAATAATGAAAATGTCAAAGCCCAGACCATTTATCAAAATCAGAAACAAAAAACGCTTGCATGGCATGTCCACCTCAGACTCAATAATTGACCTGGCACTGATTCATTACATCAAACAAATTAGAACAAGACACCTCAAGTTATTCAAATTCAAAACAAAGGCACCAAGGCCACATCATCCCCTTCTCCCTCCTTCAAACATCGAAGCCCTTGCTCCAGTCGTATTCTCCGGTGGACACCTCACCGGAGCCACCACATGAACCCAGAACTAAAAAGTAAAACTACTACTCCCCTCAGAATTTCACATAGATTCTAAATCCACCACCCATTTTTGAAAATAATCAAGCTAACATGGTTAAATCAAGGCACGAAATAAATGATACACAAACTGAATTTTCATAAATCAACACAACAAAAACACAAACACGTTCCATGCTAGCAGAGGATTCCAAACACGCAAGAAACAAACTCCAAACATGAATACAATGAGAGGAAAGTTTGAGAGAACTTACTAAGTGGAGAAGGTCTACAACCTCTGGTTCTTTGCACAAGTACCTTAAGAAAACCTTGCTCAAGCTCTTCAGAACCTCAAAGATGATGAATAAGGCAAGGGAAGATGAAGATCTTGGAAAATAAACTCAGCTCGATTTGAGAAAGTTTTGAGAGAGAGAGAGAGAGAGAGAGAGAACTTCCTTGGTTCTGATTTCTTGCAGAATGAGCTCCTATCTTCTTTATTAGGGTTTTTTAGGCTTTATAGGATGGTTTGAGATGGCTAAAAGAAAAAGTAGTCGTGGTTAAAGGCTTGGTTAGTAGCTTTTGAAAATCTGATATTTTTGGAGGTGAGAGGAGCATGACACGGCTTGACTGTGCTTGTTATGGTTTTGCTGCTTTGTTGTGAGTGGGAAGCCAGCTAGAATGAAAGGAGTCTCCTTCTTATGCAAGTTTTTTAGTGTTTTGGCATTTTCCTCCTTTAGAAAAGTGTTTCCAAATGGTTCAAGAAAAGTACATGTCATGTAGGCATGAATGAGGTAATGTTTGATGATGAAAAGGAAAGGCTCATGCATGTAACTTTGGTGAGGTAGGTTTGCTGCATGAAAAATCAACCTTATGAGCAACAACAGACATATTCATGTGAGCCATTTTAAGAGATCATATCTTGGTGAAACCTTGGTTAAGTGAGTGGAATCAAGCTTATAATGAAGTATGAAGATCAAGGAATAAAAAAATGTTGGAAAGATCTTGGTAAAAGGCTTGGAAGCATGTGGAAAATGGCTTGGAAGTCATGTCCTCAAAATCTGCCCAAGGTAGCTTAGAAATTTTCTAAGTTATGGACATTTTGACATCTTTGAAACAACATCTTTGCAAGACCATATTTTGAGATATATTGATCCAATGGGATAATTCTTGTAATGGTTGGAAAGCTTGAAGAAGGTTATTAAACTTTCATGTTATGAAAAGATTCAATTGAGATCAAGAACTTAGTGAAAAATGCCTTGGAAGTTTGGTTGACAATTCTGTCTAACCACTTGCCATTTTTGACATCTTTGAAACCCTAAATTGGGAACTTCATAACTTGAGCACTACACATCCAATGGAGATGATCTAGTACTCAAAGGAAAGCTTGGAGGATGCTCTACAACTTTTATGTTCAAGGGAAAATCATTTAAAACTTGAATCATCATGTAAAATGGGCTTAAAAGTAGGTATCTCAAGCTGATTTTCTATATTTAGAAAATTTTCTAAGTGTAGAAATGTCATAATCTCCTTTTTCCCAACTTTGACTCATCATATCTCCTAAACCATGAATCATTTTGACATCTTTACTTCCATAAACTTGTAGTTCATGATGTCCTAGTTAATTTGATAGCTAGTTTGCCTTCATTGGATCAAAAACGAGAAAGTTATGGAAGTTGCAAGATGGCTAAAATTAGGATTTTCCACACTTATAAAATTTTCTATCAAAATCCTAATTTAGTCAAAACTCTTGATTTTATGTTTCTCCTTCATTCTTCTTGTCCAAATTTATGAAACCACTTGAAAACAAATATCATGCCCTTGATTGGCCTTGAGATCCAAGATTTTGACCTAATTTAATCATAGTTGACTTTTGTTAACCAGATGGAACCCTAAGACCATTTCCACTGACTGAGGCTCTTGTGATAGCTTGTGATGACACATAACCCATGTAAAGGATCCTCGAGGTGTATGTTGAGCTTTGGAACTAGTCACAAATCTCCTTTTGAATCAAAACTCTAGACAGTTATCCATGAGATAGGAGGAGGAGAATCAATGCTTGTGTTCTTGATTCAAGTGGTTGAGTGACATGCCTTGAGGGTGATGGATACCTTGTGAATTGAGATTGCCACAAAGTTGAGCTTGAGCTCTTGATTAAGCTTTGAAGATGAAGCTCTTCTCTTGATTGTTGAATAAGGTATCTTGATTCCCTATCTAAGATCAATGCTAGGTACAAATGTTAATGCAAATGATAATGATATGGGGGTTAAAGGTTAGGGAGAAAAATTGGGTGTGACAGATGCCCCTATTTAATATCCTTGGACTTGAAAGTGAGTATGACAAAGGCCTTCTCAGGTTCAAGGTACAAGGAAATTAAATACAAGAATACCCAAAGTTTTCAGCTAACCGGAGTGAAATGTATCAGGATGAAAAAACATGATGGCTTTGAAAAAGACATTTGTCAAAAGATAAATGGTAGTTTGATGAATTGGTTGGTTATGAGGGATATATGATGATATGTTCGAGATAGGATGCAAAAGAACACAAGTGTTCCGCCAGTTCTGAAAGGAGAAGCATCCCTG